TTAAGTCATGTGTTTGTTTTTGTTGATGTGTTTATGTGTTTAAAATAAAAATTTATTAAAAAAAAACCTTAATCCAGGAGATGACAGAGGATGTGGCCTTGTAAGGCGATTCACATCAGCCTCCTTAGCTCTGCTCGGATGACTTGAATGCCCACTGCTTCTCCTACAGATCAAGGAAGAACGTTTTCGGCACCTCTTTGCTGCCTTTGGGACGCTGACCGATTGCTGCTTGAAATTCACCAAGGATGGCAAATTCCGCAAATTTGGGTTCATTGGCTTCCAGTCGGAAGAAGACGCCAAAACAGCCCAGTCTCATTTCAACAAAAGCTTCATAGACACATCCAGAGTCACGGTGAGCCAAATCGGTGCTTTTAAATGTGTTTACCCTCTGTGAAGCATAAGGGAGGTGGTCTTTGAAATTGGCCAAGAAATTCTGGACATTTTCAGGCTGTTGGAACGTTTTCTAGGCTTTTTAGGTGCAAAATAGGTTTGCTAACCCATCCCAAGGTTCAGGCACAATGTTATTCCTTAGGCCCTCTGCTGCGGTTCCCTGTCGCTCAAAATATGCGTCACACCCACCAATGTGCGACACCCGCTGGCACGCAATTTATTGAGCTTTTTGACCCCTGGTAGGTCAAACATGGATAAATCCAAGAAAAGAAACGTTTCAGAAGAAAACAGAATGTTTAATATGCTAGTTTTGTGGCTGCTCAGGAAATAGTCAGGCATGGGAAGTGTTTTGTGGCTCCCAGTGTTTTCTGTGGGAAACGGGTCCAAATGGTCCTTTGAGTGTTTAAAATTGCTGAGCCCTGCCTTAGTCTGTTATTCATAAAGTAGAGTGATTGTGTTAGTCTCTCTCCTTGATCTAAGGCAGATTAAGACACCATCTAAAGTCTTGATCTTCTGTATAAATTTACTTTCGTAAACAAGAATGAGGTTTGGGTGGGCTTATTGTTTTTCCTTGAAAACATTTCGCTTCTCAGCCAAAAACGTTCTTCCATTCTAACTCTTCTTCAGTTAAAAATGAAGAAGTTTCTTGGATGGGAAGCGAAACATTTTCAGGGGAGAAAAAACTCCCATGAAAGTCCAACAATCTTTTGAACAGTAACTTTCCACAATCGTGACCTGGATGACTGAGAATTTCCATAGACAGTGAGCTTATAAATATATATTTTTTTAATCCCAGGTTGAAGTATGCAAGTCTTTTGGGGATCCGTCAAAGCCTAAAGCTTGGAGCAAACATTCAAGTAAGCCCCAACTTTTAAAGGAAACCTCTAAAAAGCCCACAAAGAATTCAGACAATGGAGAAAAGAAACAAGTAAGAAAAAGATTTCCTCCCTCCCCCCAAGCTTTCTCACCTGTCAAATTGCCTTTAGATAAAGACTCTCAACTATTCTACTTTCTTCTCTCTGCCTCAACCTAATGACTTTTAAATTTATTTATTTTTTTAAAGTTTTTTTTATTGTTTTTATTAAACAAAAAACACACACAAAAAAAGAATCATCTTTCCTTACAACTTGTAGAAAGCATGTCAATTGGTTACAAGTACATTTCGTGCGTTCACAATCATTACATATATTTCATTCAGGTTGAGTTGTACATTTTAGAGTTTATGTATTTTACTATCACTGTATCACAATTTTCATTTAAATACAGTTACTTTAACATGCGTCCCCCCCCCCCCCCCAAGATCATTTATATTTAAAGACACAACCACCTACTGGCTGATGGTTTCCCTTCTAAGTACAGGTAGTCATTGACCACAATTGAGCCCAAAATTTATGTTGCTAAGTGAAAAATGTGTTAAGTAAGTTTTGCTCCATTTTACTGTCACAGTTATTAAGTGAATCACTGCAGTTGTTAAATTAGTAACATGGTTGTTAAGTGAACCTGGCTTCCCCATTGACTTTGCTGGTTGGAAGATTGCAAAGGTTCACCGACAAAACCGTGAAGCCCTTATCTGCGCCGTCCG